GAGGGGGCGAAGGCAGCGCTGCGGTAGGGTCCCGGTGCCCGATGGGGTGCTGCTGGGCGCGGGAGGGGGGGGAACGTGGTTTCAAAGCTTTGCCGTTCCTGCTGTGGATTATTCATCAATATTTTAACGGATTAAAGTTTAGATCCGTAATGCCGCCCGTAGAGTCCGAGACACACTGAGTGCAAGGGCTGCTGTCCCCTTTGCGCAGGTGGAGGAGCTGGCGCTGCAGTCCCTGATCAGGTCCCGGGAGGAGGACGCGGCCGACCCTTCCTCAGCCGCGGCCGCGGAGACGCAGCAAGTAAGGGGGAGCCCCTGGGGGGGAGCGGGGCTGGGCCGGGGGCTGCAGGTGTTCCCGCGGGTCGCTGTGCATTTCGAGTCCTTAGGGCTGACCTGGGTAACCGAAAAGCTCGGCTGTAACATCGGGCGGGTTTGTTGCTGGTTGAGGTTTCAAGGGTTTCGCCTTTTCCCATCCCCAAAAGAGGCACGAGGCTGGGAAACGCCTGCTTTGGGTTGGCTTCAGGTTCTTAAAACACCGTGTCTGACGCTCTGAGCTGTGACAAGCTGCTTTTGCCAACTGATCGTAGGGGCTGGAGGCACAGACACCACCTGAACTTTTTACTAAACACACGGTCAGCCTGAACTAGTTGAAACTCTTCTTGTGGAGAACTGGCGCTCGTCACCGCGGGCGGCTCTTGCAGCCAACGGCTGGTTCTAGCGCTGAGATTTCTAAAAGACGCTGTGACCCTGCAGCTTTAGTAGGGGTTTGAGAAGCATTCGGTAGCGCTGCTGGGTCTGACAGGTAGCGAGATAAACTCTTTTATTGTGACAGACTCTTGGGCAGATGGACAACGAGGCTGCTATCAACCAAACGGAATTACACCTAAGTCTTCAAGATCATGAAGAGGAGGAGGAGGAAGAGGAGGAGGAATCCGATTCTTGAGAGAAAAAAATCAGAAATGGTTTTTAATGCAGACTCAGGAATTTCTTCTTCATTCACGTAAAATTCACCAACTGATTTTCATTTTATCCTGTATATGGATAGGAACAATTTGGTGTGCAAGACCTGGAGTCTGGGGAAGTTAACCCTTGAACACATGAATGTCACAAGCTTGGTGCATCTTGATTTAACAGAATGACAATTTGCTGCACAAATATGTAGCATAATCCGTTCCACGTTTAAAAGCTAATGTAGCTTAGTACATCTTTATATGTGGAGGGGAGAGGCCACGAATCAAGTCAGACTAATTTAACACGTCATATAAGCAATAATTCATCTGTTCTTATTTCCTGATGCTGAAAAATAAAACCAGGCCACGGAGGCTGGTTGCTGAACCAGTATCAGAACCTCATTTGCTTAAACTGGGAATTTTAAGATACGTGGTGAGAAAAGATGTGTCCAGGATTGTCTCCACTTCTCAGTTACACGGAAAACTGGACTTTCACTCCCTATACTGTGACCGAGGTGTGACGTAGGTGTTCTTACGCTGGGAGCAGCGGGTTCTGCACCCCCGGCCTGCTTGGGAGCGCAGCAACGAGGTGGCCTCTTTGTACCCACTGGTGCTCTTCTTAGGTACTGTCGGGCTGGCTGTGACAGTGACGTATTTGTACTTCTTGCTCTAGCAGCCAATTCGCCTTTTAGTTGTCCACGAATTGTACAGCAAGAATTGGTCCCTCTTACTTGTAATAAGGAACTAAGAGGTTTAAATCCGCATTATTTTCTTTTTCCCTCACAGTAACTTCATAAATCAAAGCAAGTCCACCTTCTGCTTTCAAGTGAGCTTCAAGGAGGCGTTTTAAGAACTCGGTTAAAGTGGGAAGTGATGTGAAGCCCCCTCCCCACTTTCTGTAACGGTACGGTAACAACTGACACGTTGGTTGTGCTTCTCGTGGAGCGCAGAGGCCGCGCGGTGCCGCTGGTTATTTTATCAATTCTTAAAGGCTTGTTTTAAAGCACAGAAACCCAAACTCTGTTAAGCTGATTGAAAGCAAACAATAAAAGTAATATTCTAACCCAGCCACTTTGTCAACTGTATGGACAACTAAGAAAACAGCTACATGCAGGTTGTTCACTGCACAACCAGTGTCTAAAGGTGCTGTTGCTGTCTCGGACATCACTCAAAGAAAACAGAATAACCTCTCTTTCTGATGTTTTACTTTTTTACTTTTAAGAGCAGGAGAGGAATTTGGAAAAGTCCTGGGTGTGGTCAGAACACAGGATTCAACCTCCAATGAGCTCCTGCCACTGAGGAGAGACTGTTTATTCAGCTCCTGTTTGGTTTGTGGCAATAGAAACTGAATGTTGCAATGCTGGAATGTAAATATAGCCTCATCCTGGACTAAAGACTAATTGGTTTTTGAGAATCCTGGATGTCTTAATGAAGAAGCTTAGAACATGAGTGCAGATGATTCACCAAAGCTTTCCCAAGACTCCCAGGTGAAAAAAACCCAGAAAGTTTGAGCAGAAAAGGTTATGGCTTGGAGCATCAAATCATTCTTTGAAAGTCCGTGTGTGAAGGGCTGGTTTGTAAGGAGCTCAGCAGCCAGCCTCTCCTCTCTCTGCATGTGGCAGCGCTCAGCATGGTCAGGGCACTTCACAGGGCTCCTTGTCTCTGGTGCAGCAGGACCACCTGCAGCCTCTGCTTTGCTTCTGGGCCAGGCCCCTGCTGGAGCAGCTGCTCTTGGGTTTCATCTCCAAAGGCTCATTTTGACTGTTGAAAAATGGTATTTGTCCCCAGCATGGTCCAGAGTGGTTTTCATGGATGTAGTTCCTGCTGCCTCTCGTGAGTCCCTTGCTTACTTTTGGATTAAAAGAGACCCGTTCTGGTGCATGTTGCAATAAAATGCTTTTCCTGGTGTCCTACTACCTAACGTGTTTGCAGTGTTCACATTATTGCTGTCTGTGGAGCAAACCAGTAAAACAGGAGTTAAATCTCCTAAAAAGTTGCTGTTCACATACTGTTTATTGTTTGTACAGGACAGCTCTGTGTGTTAGTGTGTATCATTCACAGACAAAGCTCAGGACAGTTTAGTTTAAACACGACACAGCCCTGTCACTGCTACCACCAGCCCCAGCGCAGGGAGGACAAGCTGAAGGCAGCTTTGGACATGAGTCAGTTCCTGCTGTTGAGGGGTTGAGGGCTATTCTGTCCCTCTCTCTGATACTAGACACTGTCAGCCAAGTGGAAGTTCAGGTCTAAAACAAGCTGGATTCCTTTTGGGAAGGAACTTCAGGCATGTCCATGGGTGAAACATCCTTGCAGGGAGCCAAGCTTTTTACGGTGCTGCTCAGCTGGTGAGAGCAGGAGGTTGTGCTAAGGACACGTGGCTGTACCCACCGCTCCCTGTTCTGTTGTTCCTCTGCTCACAGCAACAGCTAGTGGCTTGCCCAGTAGCTGATAGAGCTGAAGTTCTGAAGAAAAATAAAGAAGTGTGGGCTCCTGGTTGATGTTATGCCCTAGGAAAACGCCTGTTGCACCCCACCCCAGGGGGAATAGCGCTGCCCAAGCTGTGGAGCGCTGCCACCCCCCCCCAACACCCCTAAAGAGGGAATTAACCCCCACACTGGCAACTGCCTCAAGCCCTCTTGGCACATTGTCATTTTACACACACAACCTTGTACCTTTTGGAACAGAAATCATGGAAAAATGGAAAAAGGGGTGTGTAATGCAGCAATGACTTGAGATGAAGGCTTTGGTTAAGGTTTTGAGTTTCAGGAAAAGCTTCAGGAAGTTACTTGATAATATATTTATTAAGAGAATCCATTGCTAAACATCTGAGAGAATAAAACAATAGAGGATCTTCATACACTTTAGACACTAAACACAGTCGTCATGAATCTTTAGGTTAAAAGAAAGCAAAGTGCCTGGATCGTTGTCTGGATTCTGTAGGACACTTCCAAGAACTAACTTTTAAAAATCAATTAGAAAGACAGACTTCACTAAACCCAAGTATGATGATATGTTTTAAAAATAAATATAGAAATATGAACAAGTCTACAATTAGAATATTGCCCTGGACGTTCCAAGAAACATAGAGCTCTTGCCTTCTTTACCTGGAAAGAGAGATCTCTAAACAACAGCAACAACTGGAACCATTAGGCCTACCTTTCAGATACAGTTTGGCAGCAGCAGAAGCATGCTCGACAGATACAGTTTTGGAGCATCCCTAACCCTTTTTGCACAGGAGATTAGGTAAGCGTGATTGAAGTACCAACGATTTACAAAGAAACTTGATAAAGTTCAAACAAGCTGGGGGTAAACACCCCCAGTGATATTTTCATTAAGAAAGAATATCCATAATCACTTAAAACCAGCAAGCACTGTAACTTAGACATCTTACAGCTTGGTCAGTAAACAAATATAATCCAATACAATACCAATTAGTTTATGACAAAATTTAAAACCATTTGGCACATGCTATAAAGACATTCTTCCTTAAGAGGTGAAATACATGTTTGAACAGGTACAAGCTGAGGAAATAGGACCGAAATAGCATTGTTCTTAACAGGTGTACAGTACAGGATTTGCTCTTCCACATTCAGACTCCAGCAGCATGCGTGGGTGTACTCGGTTGGTTAAGGCCTATGGTTGAACAAAGCCACCCTGCAAAATCCACCTCCTCCGCTTCAGATCTCTTAATGAAAGCATGAATCTGAGCAGGGGAGAAGAATATTATTATTCAAGCACTCAATCTGTTAAGTAATCATTTTGAATAACACCAAATACACTAAATCCTGTTTACTTCAGTACTCAACACAAGCTGTAAAATTTGGCAAACCCCCATGAAGCGACCAGGAGAGCTTCTCTACAGGAAATAACCAGCGTACGAAACGTACACATTGCAAAGGATTCCAGAGAAATCCTGCCTGCACAGCACCCATTGCAGAACACTTACACCACAGTATGCAATAAGGATGTGACTCAGGCACTCCAGATAATACTCTGGAAAATGTCTGCCTGGGCACGGAAAGGCTTTTTGTAACAGAAGGAGTCTGATTGCATTTTGCACCCTTCTTGTACAGCAGGATCAGGGCAGGGAAAACTCGATTTTCTGCAGCAGAACTTAAGTCCCAGCACTACGCTTAAGGCCATGAAAAGATCCACTGAAACCGATAAGGCCATTTCACACAATAAAAACCGCAGGATTTGTTTATGTCTAGTAGTTCTATGATATTGCAAGACAAAGCTGATGAGAGGCAAATTTTGTGTTTCACAACAGATAAAAGCACATTTAACTAGTCCATAAGGTACGTGGAATTTTCTTCTTTCATCCTCCTACCAGTAATAATCTATATACTTTATTATTGACTAATACCCAAGAAAGAGAATTCTTTTGTTAATTACTTTAATAGCATTAGGTCATATACCCATTGTAATTATCAAATTGCAGGCTCCCAAACCCACCAGTTTTGGTCTCCTTGACAGTCCCTGGTCTAGGCATGTGTGAAGCCTGCAGCCCCTTGGTCTCTGGATCCCAAAAGCAGTCCCTCCCCATAACTGTTTGAGCTGCTCGTGTCAAGGGCCCCCAACTACACTAAACCACAGCTCTGATCCTGATCTCAGGTCAGCTGAGGAATCCACCCTGCACAGAAGAGTGCTCTTAGTTCAAGTGAAGAACTTTCACTTACCATCAGCTGCTTCAAATCAGCTCTCTCAGCAGGATTCTTAATTAAACTAGGAAAACAGAGTGTTACACAAGTTACACACTATCATCTTTTACAATAAAGATCAGGTTACATCACGTTGGTGCACTGCTTTGGTCTGAAGAAGATACCTCTCTAGATAAAAGCATTAGGTAATGCAGCACCTCTCAAACACAGATCAGGGTCTGTAAGCAACTCCCTTCTGGAGGTTTCCCAGGTGGAGTTTTAGGTATGTAATCCTGAGTTGTCTGATGCTGTTCAGTGAGGGCAGGAGTGAGTGTCTATAACCAAGCTGGAGAGACCAAATTCCCATCTAAACAAAAAAACTCAACAACATGAACTGCTTTATCCCTCAAGTTTCTTTTACCAAAGTCTCTTCAAGCTCAGTATCGAGTACAGCTGCTACATTACTGTTCTTCCTTTTTTTGAAACAGTAAATACATTTATGTGGCTTTTAATAAACAAACTAACGCTTCAAACTGTACTGAACTGCCCCCTTAGCACTGAATACACTGGTTCGGTGCTGGTATCACTGAAGTGCAATAGGAAAAGTAAACAGAGGGGAGAGCAACTGCTGGGATAAACATGTGAAGCACTGGGAAAAAAACAACATCTGGAGCCTGCAAGACATCTGCATCCTATGGAACAGTCACTGCAGAAGGCTCTGAAGGTTACCCTTAAAAGTACAGGTCCTCCTTTAGAAGTGTGCTGTACCATCAGAGTCCAGGAGTACTATGGTGTCTTCAGGGCTGAGAGATACTAATCGAAGGTGCACACAGGAGCAGGAGTTGTATCTTAAAGGAGGGGAAAGCCTCTCAGCTTTAGGGTTCTCTTTGGAAGCACGTGCTGTCAAGCTGGTGCCTGTACCACCGGTTTCAGGCACGTTAACAGGCAGAGAAAGAGGATTATGCTAACTGAAATGACTTTGCATTTGCCATGGCCTACAAGTAGGGACTCTGAGTGCCAAATCAGTGATACAGTAAGACAGCAGGGCTGATCCCAAATGTGTCCCTTTGCAACTTAGCCATAGGGAAAATACTCACCATTTGTTAACAAAATCTTGAAATTCAGAACCAAACACACCATTGGGCAGTTTTGGAGGTGGCTAAAAATAAATAAGTCAGCAGTCACTCAGCAGAACTCATACGTGACGATGCACAACCTACCCAGAGGTCTACCAATTACATGTCCTAGAGCTGAGTAAAGCTGCAAAGCCCTGGCACTACCCAGGCCTTCTTTCACAGCTGAGCTCTAAAAGGTGGACTTCAGCTTCCGTGCACACAAATAAAGGATGTGCTGTCCTATGATTTATAAAAGTAAAGATGCTGAGTTTATCACCAATTTTAGTTATTACTCTCACAGCTGCTGGATTTTAGGTGTTTCACTAATAGATCAGACCAGAGTTTCTATGGTGTGGGGTGGTTGGGTGGTTTTTGGTTTGGTTTGGGTTTTTTTTTCCCATACACACCTGAACAGGGTTAACACAGCCTTGAGCTGTCATGAAAAAGCAGGCTCAGAGAAGCTGGCAGTAATGAGCCCTGTGTTATTCCCACTATTAACCTCCAGTCTGGGGAAGATGCCCTGCACATCATTAGTTCCATAATACTTTTGATCTAAATATTCTGTCCCAGGGAATGAGTTTGTTCAGGTTCTGAATTCATAAAGAATTCTGATACAGAAAGAAGAGGTTCTATATAAACCTGAGTATTATTGTCTTGTTCTCCGTGACATTTGCTGTAGGATCAGTTACATTTTCAGTCTTACACCGTGGGTCCAGCAGCACTTGCACAGGGGTTGCTTGTACTGAGTTGAGATGTGCCCTGCACTCACTCACTGGTGGACAGACTTTGTTGATGTGGCAGCGCCACACGACGATGGCTTGTACGACAGCACAGGTGGCAGAAAGTAATTCTGCCAAATTTGCAATTACCACAGCTTTTCACCTTAAACTGCCCTCCTCAGGGATGCTACAGGAGCAGGACCATAGTATCTGAAGTAATCCAATGCTGACTATTCCAAGAGTCCGTGCTGTCACATTAAACTGCTCTAACACGCAAAATAGGTTTGTAACGTGGCAGTAGTGTGTGCAGACGAACAGCAGCAATTTATCAGTACATGTGCAGTAGCATAAGCAATGCCAGTCTTTGCAGGGACCTAGACCCAACTGTGCTTTTTAAGTAGGTGTCAGACACTTTTTTATAATTCACCCACCCAGAACAATTATGCTATCCAGCTCTTACAGACAAGAGCTAACAGGAGCATGCTTTTTTTTTTTGTTGGAAGGACACAAGCAGTGGAGTCACAGGAGTTTCAGCAGCACTTGTGAAAATATTGGAAATAGCCTATCAGTTCTAAAATACCAATGTCTATTAACTAGCCTCATAGCTTAGCTGGCTGGAAGATCCAGTATTCCAAATTAGGTTGTTCATAACACCAAAACAAATGAAATAGAAGCAGTTTTGTATATGCTTGATCCTACTGTTTGCTATTAATTGTCCTAGCAGGTTGCATGATCCAGGCTGCAAAATGAATAAGCCTACTTAAAAGATGCAGAGAAATGAACCAAAATTCTCCTGGGAATAGTTTAAAATCAAGCCAACATATGTAACAAGGATGTGTCTCATACTGAAGCCATAACACATCAGAAGACCCAGCTTATCCTAACACTAACCCCTAACACTAACACCCCTCAAATTCTGGAATGCTTAAAAAATTTACAGTTGCATTAGTAAAGTGCAAATAGTAGATTACCTCATTGACAATGTAATCAAGAAGTTCAAAGATTGCCATCGGGGGTCTGCTGTCTGGTCCGTAGGCTACAACGACAGGGTAGAAATGGAAAAGCACAGCGTTACGCTCCTTCCGCACTAGGAGTGTTTTAAGAAGCTAAGTCACGCACTCTATCCTTACATGGCATCCAGTAGATCACAGGAAAAATGTGGACCAGCAACAGGATAATACTTTCATGCAAAGAGACACTGTTTTCAAGTCCGATCCAAACCACTAACTTCACTGGGAACTGTTCCACTGTGCTTTGATCAACATTCTGTCTTAGAGAGATGAACCATAACAACAATTACTGATCTTAATGGTGCTCGTGAACACCTCTGTTATTAACAGAAGGATCTCTGGTCCTTGATTCTCAGATACCTCCTCTTAGTGAGACTGAGCCAGGTACCCAATAGAACCCCAGTTTTTTTCAAGCTTAAAGCCACACTATGCAGACCAGTATCAGGTAAGGAAGACCTTTACACTGTCAGAGAAAAGTATCAGAAAAGAATTTAACAGATTATTGTAACTTACAGCTCACTGGTCGACCAGGTGTTCTCTGCCTGGGCGAGGTCTCTGTGACTGGAGAATCTCCCTCTACTGGGCAGCCAAACATTAATTCAAGCTCCTTAGAGTCAGGAGGAGGAATCGGGTATCTGCCAATCGCCATCTCTACCAGCGACAAGCCCATGCTCCAGATATCCGATTGCACGGAATAATGAGTTCCCTGTAGTCTCTCCGGCTACAAAAAAGAAGGGGAGGGGGAGAAAGTATTGTAACAAGAAAAAAATTGCAGGGGAGGGGGAGAAAGTATTGTAACAAGAAAGAAAAAAATTGTATTCTGCCATAGCCTGGATAAAATGAAGGGTGAAACCCCAAGTTACTAGTATGACATGTTCCAAAGAGTGACTTTTTGATCTTTTGCTTTAAACAGCTCATCTGGAGTTCCAGGAGTTCCACAAACATTGCACACCACCACTGCAAGTAACTGTGAGGCTTCTTAAAAACAATGCCATTACGTTGCCAGTTTATTTCTGTAGTACACTAAATGCTGCAACTATTAATTACAGCGGGACAATCAGAGAGCAAGAAAGCAGAACTAGCACGGGCAACTGAAGATGCACCTGCTTTCCCTTAGAAGCTGTTCTTGGTGTTCTGCTTTGGGAAGGAGAGGGCAGGTAACTGTATGGATTCTGTATCAGTCCAAAAGTGACCTGTTGCTCTAGCAATAATCTTGTGGCTTGGTGTCAGCTGAGAAGTGTCACATTCTGATAGTTCCCTACAGCAGAAATGCAGTTATGCAAGGACTATAATACACATGCATACTGCGGTCTTAGATCGATATTCAAATAATTTCTAAATAAACTGTTTGAGCTCTAAAATCCATTGAAATTATAACATACAAATTGAATGATAACATTATGGAGGGCAGAGACCTCTCCTGGAGGTACAAATGATTGGAAAATATGTACAAAATAGGAAGACAGACATGTGTTCTGCCACCTTAACCACTCACATGTTATGGCCTGACAAAGAAAAGTGCAATAGGCTTAAATTTTTCTCAGGAAAACACAAACCAAGAAGGGACAAACACAAACACAAATTCTGGGTAGATTATACACACATGCTAATGTAAGTATTACGAAACTGCATGCAGGTAAGACACTCAGCTGAAACAATTTTGTGTGTTGTCTTTAGAAGACTCAAACACTGGAAAGATTATTTAGGTATGGGATTTTTTGGTCAGTTGAATCATGATCAAAACCAGGTCTGGATATTCCAGGCACATTGCTCCAGAGATCCTCAGTTCTGATCAGTGTACCCATCTTCTGTTTCTGCCTGCAGAACTAAAACACAAGATTAGTCCTTAACTAACTCCTTTTCCTTAGTTTTTGCACTTGCTTTATCAGTACTGTGAGTGCTGAATATGGTTTCTGCAATTTTTAGTACCTCAATCTATATCATCCTTGGATCCATTTTTACTAAGATTTCTCAAAGAAAACGCTCACTTTGCTTTTCTCGATTTTTAAAATCGAGCTCAAATCTTACCAAAATGGTGCAGATTCTTGCCTGACTATATGCATATTTTGGAAAGATATACATGTAATTTGAAACATTCCCCTAGAATCTAAGAACGTAATATTACTGCAAAGTCCCTTCCCTCTGCCATAATGGGCGATGGTTTTGTTAAATTACTTTTGTAAAACATCTACTGTGATTATATTTGAGCTTTCTCCAGTGTCCCTCCTCAGCTAGTTCCAAAGCCATCAGGATAAACTACACAATTGCTGGACAACGGATAAAGATGCCCAAAA